ATATGCTTTCTTAGAAAGTATGCTTGGGAGGTAAATAGTTTGGAAGCTGAGTTCCATTCCATTTGACCTGTTTTTATCGTTTTGGAACCTTTAGGGATCGTGCTTCCATGCTCTTGCCTATGTCTATTTTCACCTACTGTGCTGGGTACTCCACCCTTTTAACCTGAAAACTTGTATCCTTCATTTCTGGGAATAAAACATTTTTTCCCTTTGATAATTCCCTCTTCTGCATTTTCTCTGTCTCTATTCTTAGCACAACTCTTAATATTCAAATATGAGATTTCTTTGCCTAGCACTCTAACTTTCTTAGGTTTGTCTCTCAGCTTCCATGTTTGTCCTTTGGCTTTACTTTTTGTGAATTTTCTTGTATTTATTTTTCTTCTACTGGCTTTCTTTTTTCTTTTCTTTCTTTTTAAAATCACATTTCCTTTATTCTCTTCAACTAATCAATATGACCACCGGTGACACAACACCGTTATTAACATACAACACTCAAAAGTGGGGCCTCTCTTCACTCCAGGGGGTGTTGACTTTATTTTTTGTTTCCCAAATTTCTTTTTAAATGTACCCGATGCAGTTCTTGGTTGCTGATCCTCTTACCCTCCCAAAGATACTATTCATAGATATTTTAATGTTCTGCCTTCCTGTGTGGGCTGCTTCTTCTAAGTTGACTTTTCCTCTTCCTCTTTGTGTCTTGTTTTGCTCTTTTTCATGTTAAAGGATATTTTCAACTAAGTGGAGATCATATTTAAAGTGGGGACTAAAAAGGTGTTTGGGAGCTCAGAGCATAAATAGGCCTTGGTTGAGTTTTGTTGTTTTTTGTTTAGTCTATATGAGTTTATTGTTGGAGAAATATTTCAGAGAAACAGAAGCATATCAAGCGAGGTCAGGGCAATAAAGAACAATTTTAAAATATGGGTTTTTACATGTTGCTCTATTTACATGTGGGAACTGGCTTTTCCAACATCAGGCTCAGCAGCTGCACTTGTCTGATGCCCTTTTGCAGACACAGCCCTGGGTGCACTTGGTACAACACATGGAGCAGCAGGAACAGCGGCTTTTTTTGCAGGAGGTGCATTTGTACCCTTTGCATTTGCAAGAGCAGTGCAAATGCAAGTACAGGAACCACCCAGCACAAATTGTTGGGGTTTATTTCGAGCCGAGGTGAGACTGGAGGTCCAAAGCAAGTGGTGAAGCCGTACTTGGGCTAGTGGAAGGTATGTTCTGGGGCTTGTTGTGAGCTTAACTATGGGGTGACCTGGTTGGGCCATCTTATTGGGAAACCCTGATTTCAGTATCTCTAGTTCTTTTGTTCCCATTGAACCTGGGCAGTAATGGATCCGGGCTACCTGTCACTATTTGAGCCAATTAAGCAGAGACAGGGTTGAATCATATATATGAGCATTTATTCCAATATTGCCAGCAATATGGGAGAGCAATAAGGGTCATCCACGAAAATCTGCTCTACTGCCCCCCCACCATCAGTAATCCAGCTGCTTCTGTTGGGTAGGACAAAGATTACCTGGGAAAGTAGGAATCACGGGCATGGGGAAGTAGGCAAGGTATGATGCTAACTGGTTACAAGCAATGCGGCCTGGTGCGGTTGAACAGTGAGTGCCTCCAGGACCCCTGGGTGGGCTCCTGTGGGACCAGATTATAGGCTATGCGGGGGCAGGGATAGCAAAGGGTGGGCGCCTCTGGGGTTCCACTGTTTCGGGAACAGGCTGTTAATCCTCCCTTGTCGATAAAAGGAGTATGGGCCGCATTCCACAGTTAACTCCCACGTCCCGGGGTGTACAATGCTCAGCCAGGTTAGAATGTGCTTTCTCTAATCAGAACAGGACAATCACGGTCAACAGAGCATGGTCAATATTTCTTATAACTATAGTTAACATCATGGTTAACAGGGCATGATTAATATTTCTGTCCCCAGCACCATGACCCAAAGAAGATTCTTCTAATATCCTCCTGCCTAGAGGATAAAGACTTGGCAGCTAGCGTTCTTGGAGTTTAGTAGAGAAATTGGGATGGGGATGGGGGAGAAATTATCTTATTATTCAGAATGTATGATTTTTGCTTAATCTCCTTTTTGTTTTACCCTTTCCAGAAGGGAAAATTTACAGACTTTTTCCAAGAGGTGGGTGGTGGTGGCGGTGGTGGTTAGTATTCCAGTTACTCAAGTCGGGGAGGGCACCTAAGTGCTTCCTAAACAGTTTTAACGAATCCTAACTATAGGACTTCTCTCTTCCCCTTCACTGCCACTTCCAGAGGTGCCTGAGGTAATCAGGTTCTAAACCTTTTGGTGATTATGTGGTGCCAATAAAATTGCCTTTGTGTTTTCCCCATTACTGATTTTCTAAACAATCTAGTACTTGTCCATTTTCTTGATGCTTTCCAAAATGTTGCTGTAGCAGCCTCTCCTCTCCCACTCTCCTCCTTATGGACTTAGGCTTAAAAAACAAACAATCCCATTTGTGTTTTTAACAGTTTCAGGAGGAAGAAAATGAAGATATAGCTGTTCAATATCTAACATCTTTCCTGGGGATTACTCCTATTTCTGTTCATTCCCACTGAAATCACTCTAATTTTAGCCACCCTCATTGTTGAGCTGGTCCACTGCAGCAGCCTGCCAGCTGCTCCTCCTACTCCCAGGCTTGCCCTTTCCTTATTTGTTTTATTGCACTGAAGTTGGAGTGGACTTTCTACAAAGCAATATTATTATTTCTCCACCCTCCTTTACACCCTTCTTTGATTCCCTTTTCCCCTTAACTTGTAAGGCCCTACATCATCTAGCCTTGATCTTTTGGCAGCAAAATGGCACCAGAATGTTACTGGCAATTGGACCTTGGTTCAGCAACCTCAGTACTTGAGTTCTGGCTAAGAAGGAATTCAGAGTCAAGACTCAAATACAAGCAGAAGTTTATTTAGAAAGTCATATAGGTAGAAAAAAATGAGGCAGCCGGGCTGTGTGGGCTCAGGAAACAAGTTGCAGAGGTAAAAGAAGGGCCCTTGGAACTTAGGAGAAAGAAAGTAAGGATATAGGTGCCTGGGGGGAAGGAGAGAGAGAAAGGCTCAGGAGAGACAGAGAGGGAGGGAAAGAGGGCTGGGTCCTCCATCCTGAGGGTTTTCATCTGATCTCTAAAGGCCCATGAGGGAATTCAGAAGGAATGGGGGTGAGGGGTGAGTTATGGAATGAGTGTCTGTTCCCTGCAGGCCAGTCTGGTTCTCAGACCTTTAGACTCATTGTAAGTTGCCACTGCCAATCACAGGACCAAAGTGTGTGACTTGTCAATGTGCAATGCGACATCATTAAAGCCTGATGCTAGCCTCGGAGCCTAGCCAAGCATCAAAGCCTAGTCTTGGGGTCTAGGAACCCTGCCTCACCTCGGAACCTAGCTTTTTCTGGTAACCCCCTCTAAAGTGTTCTCAACATGGACAGGAGCTAGCAGAGAAGAGCTTTTCCTGGTAACCTCTACTCGGGTGTTATTTCCAAGATGCACAGGAGATGGTCGCAAACAATAGCATTTCCTGATTACATGCACTCAGCTGTTATTTTCAAGATGTACAATAGATGGCAACAGAGAAAAACTTTTCCTGCTGACCTTCACTCAGGTGTTATTCCCAAGATGACCACTAGGTGGCAGAAAAGATCATTTTCCTGCCTTAAGGGCTCTGCTCACTCTGCATTAAAATGAGAATCCAGACCCCTGGTAATAAGCTCACTTTGATATAATTCCTATTTTAAGTCCCTCACATGCTCATCTTACCTACTGCTCCCATTTGGTAGGTGAGGCAGGGACATTTGTTATCTCCATTTTACAGGTATTTAAGCTGAAGACTGATTCTAACATAATTGAGGCCTAAATGGGCCAGAAGGCGGCTGGTGGCTACAGCAGAATGAACGAGGGCGAGCCTGGTCAGGTTGGGTGTTGCCTGGCTGGGTAAATAAGAGTGAAATAATCCTGTACCATGACGAGAATAGGAACCCTCGCCTAGGAAGCGCCCATTCAATGTTTCCTCTTGTTTATTATTACTAGTCCCTGTCTACAGACGAAGGAAACTGAGTTGGCTCTTGGAGCAGGCTTTGCACACGAGTGCTTAAAACGGCTCCTTATGGTTGGCATGTCTCAGAGCACACTCTGTGTGCAGTGAACAGGCTGGAAACTACCCCGCACTGCCTGCACCCACGTGCCCCGCAGCCATGCCTCTCCCCAGAAACGGGAACTCGGCCCAGCAGCGAGACTGGCGAGGCGAGGTGTGGGGCAGCCCGTCTGAAGGCTCATCTCCGCCTCCACCTCCGCCCTGCGCCCGCGCAGCCCCGGGTGCCCGCCGGCAGCGTGGGGCAGGGCCCTCGTCACCTGCAGGTCAGGCGTTCCCGCACCCCCTGCCCTCCCTGCGGGCCCCGACGCGGTTCACCGTCTGGGCCCCTCCGTCCACAGGGAGGCAGGGCCAGCCACCGGGTCAGGCTGGGAGGGTCACGCTCCACTCTCGCGCTCTCCCTGTGTCCAACCGGGAGGAGCAGCCCCAGATTGGTCCCGTGGAGCCGGCGCGGGCGGCCTCGATCCACAACGCGTGCGTGGAGTGGCCGGGGACGCGGCGGAGCTATGGGTGCGCAGTGAGGCGCGTGGCAGACAGATGGGGCTGGAGCTCGGCTCCCGGAAGGACCGCACAGGAGCACGTGTCGCAAGGCCAGCGACGTCCAGGGGCATCCGCTCGGGAGGCCTCTACACAGGCGCAGATCAGATTCCTCGCACTGGCCAATGGGCAGCCCGGAGGTCTGCACACCCGCCCTCCCCTCGTCTACCCCGGATTCCGGCCGCTGGCCGTAAGCACGCTCCCTACAAGCGTTGGCCCAAAACCGTGACGACGCTGTCCGCTCTCGCGTGAAGGCGGTGTGGAGGGCTTTGCGCAGGCGTGCTACAGGCGCCCCGCCCCCGCGCCGGTTTCGACCAATCCCAGCGGAGGCGCCAACCGGGCGGGCGCCCCGGAGCTGAGAGGAAATGGCAGGGCGGCGGGGGCCTTCGAGGGCGGAGCCCACGGGGACGACAGGCCAGGCTGGGAAGGCCGGAGGTAGTGCTGGGCTGCGCGGGCCTCCGTCGGGAGCGGGCGGGAGCGCGGGCGCCTCCCTGTCAGAATCCACCGGTGGGGCCGGCACTGGCCGAGCGTGGGGGTAGGGGGGCTGTAATCGTGGGGGTACGGGCTGCACAGAAGGACGTGCGACTGGTGACTGCGAAGAAGGGGTTTGGAGTCTGAGGGGAACGCAGAAGTGAGGGGACATTTTTCATCTTATTGCTTGACTTTTCTACAGGGACTGCGTAGTTACTACTTGGGGGCATTTCTTAACCGTCGTTGAGGGTCAGATGTTAATGCCCGTCGCAAGGGGTCACTGCAGGGAGAGTGACCTCGGAGGCCCCCGCAGGGTGTGCTGGGTAACGAAGTGCTGTGTCTGCAGCTCAGCGGCTGCAGATGGGGCGCCGGGTCAAGGGCATGGAGGAGCTGTGGGTCCTGCTTTTGCCACTTTGAAGTACATTTGGAATTATTTAAAAATAAAGTCAAAAGTAGGAGACACGCTACACAGGCTGTTTTGTGAGATTGGCGGGCTCCTCCCACAGATCCTCGCTGCCTTCCCATCCTGCCCTTCCTGCGGCGAGCCCTGGAGGGTGGACATAGTACGAAGAAGACCCGAAGAAACAGTGTAAAAGTCGTTTTGGGTCCCGGGGAAATTAACTTTTTAAAATATAACCATATGCAGAAGGGTGCGAGCTGAACAGCAGGCAGCCTCCCTGCCCTCGCGGCGCCGCCCGCCGGAGGCTCTGGAGACGCGTGGGGCGCGCTCCGGGCTGAGGTCCGCGCGGAGCCCGGCGGCGGTGGCCCCAGTTCACTGGCGGG